GAGCCGATATATATATATATATATATATATATATATATATATATATACGTACATAGGCCACATTGCACAATATCGACTTTACGGGTCTGCCTTTTCAATCGGAGTACCAAAGGGTTCGAGCATTACGGTGAATTGGCACGACTCTTTTACGCGAATACCGGTAAAACGAGTGTCGGTAAAGCAATAAATCTCTCTCTCTCTCTCTCTCTCTCTCTCTCTCTCTCTCTCTCTCACTGGTCATACCTCACTGATCGGAGACAGGCTGTCCGTACCTCGCTCGGTATCTCAAACTGGTCAGCTGTTCCCTCGGGAGTCCCCCAGGGGTCAGTTCTGGGTCCTACACTCTTCTCCCTTTATATTAGAGATGTCGACGAAAGCATACGGAATTGCTCCTTCGTTAAATATGCGGATGACCTAGAAATATACGCTCATTGCGTACCAACAGCAATTAACTACTGCGTTACGAAAGTTAACGAGGATATTGACCGCATCTGCGAATGGGCCCTTCGGAACAAACTGCGATTAAATGCGTCTAAAACTAAGGCGATGATTCTCGGCTTCTCTAGGTACATCAACGCCCTCGAGTTTGGTAATATTGATAGTCTGATTGCTGACGGTTGCGCGATCCCGTTCACGAACTTGGTAAAGAGCTTGGATATTTTTGTATCCCCGTCACTTGACTGGCAAGAGCAGATTACCAGCATCTGCAATAGGGCATACAAAACACTGTACCAACTAAAGGTAAATCGACACTCTCTATCTAAAGCAATAAAGCAGGAACTCGTTTCCTCTCTGATTCTACCGCTCATCGACTACTGCTCTGTAGCGATACTTGACATCACTGTGGAAGAAAACGTCAGACTACAACGAGTCTTAAATGCCGGTGCTCGCTTTATTTTGGGTCTTCGTAAATATGATCACATCACGCCTAGTCTTCGTGCTTTGAAATGGTTGAGTGTTGCGCAGCGGCGACAGTATTTCTTAGGGATCCTGGTACACGGGACAGTCTACAATGGCTTACCATTCTTCATCTCCGACAAATTAACCCTTTGTTCCTCCAGAGATGCTACTGCGCCTGTGACAAGATCACATCCCCTCGACCTTGTCGTTCCCCGCTGTCGCACCTCGACTTACCGAAAGTCAGTTATCGTATCTGGGATTATGTTTTGGAACTCCGTACCTAGCAGCATCCGTGAGATAACCGCCGTGCCACTATCCAAATATGCGCTGCATGCTTGGCATCTTAGCGTTTAAACTACAAATATATATATAGCTAGCGTAGCTTACTCATGTTAGCGCTATTATTACTATTACTATTAATTATATCTTTGTAAATATGTATTATTTTATTGGCTTATTATTATTATTAATTTTCTTGAACATTGTTCTGTATTTTATACTTCCACGGCAACCTGCCCTAGTATAATAAACTATGGTCTCAATCTCTCTCTCTCTCTCTCATCGCTCCTTTTGGCTAGCAATGCTTCGACCACTGGACAGTTATACCTGCATACGCTCGATACGTAAAATCACAGGTCAAGTTTAGAGACCTCAGACCCAAATAACTTCTTACCGATCATCCCTTATTTCAACACGTGAATATAGTCGCTGTCCAAATATTATTGGGACCGTCTACTGGATCGGACCGTGTTGACAATTAACGAAAGTTAATAGAATTTTAAGTATATCGATAGACTCTTTTCCTAATGAAATATTAACGTTACACGATTCAGTGAATGAAACAGTATACACCGCTGGGACTGACAATAATAATATAAATATATTTTTAGTTTATAATGGGTACCTAATTTTAACGATGGCTTTTACGAGTTATGGCATATACGTACTATTAAGATCCAGTGATTTCTTTACAAGTTTCAAAGTTAGAGAAATTTCATTATTATATCTCCAGATACAGTCTCAACGTCAATTGTTTGTAGACGTTCTAGCGGGTTTATGCTGTTACCAGAAAACCGCGTGACGTCCAAAAATTTGACGATAAATTTTTTAACTAAAAAAATTCTTTGTAATAAAAAAATATGTCAATAATTTTCTAGCAATACACAATTTTCAGCATATTCCTTTTATACAGTGTATCATATGTGATATACATATATCCCTATACAAGCATGACTTCTTTAAAGTCATAATGTACATAACAAACCCCATACTTCATAGCAAAAAAAAAAGCACTAATCGCAATAATTCAGGATTCTTCTCTGCTTACGGGATACAACGAGTGATACAGTCAGGAGCACGCGTGTAAGCTAGTGCACGCGTAAAATTCAAGGGATCCTAATATACGGGGCTTTTACGTGTAGATCGTGGTAGGTGGCTGTGGCTGTGACGGTGGTGGTCGTGGTGGCAGTGGTAGCAGTGGCGTAGTACGAGCAGAGAGTAAGGAAAGCACAAGCCACCCTTGACAGGCCCTCGCAAGCAAGCAACCCCTAAGCCTGGTTAGGGGTGAAGGCGGCGAGCCGCGGAGGCCACAACACGACCGCCATCCTCATTGGTCGACGCGCGGCTCTGGGAGGGGCTCCGGAAAAATTGGAGGGGAGAAAAATCCCCTCTAAATAGCTCGGAGCCAAGCCGCGAAAAACTAGAATCCGCTGAGCCGGCACCGAGTACGCGTCGAGCTCGTTGACGAGAAGATACATTGAGAGAAGGAGAGGAACGTGGATTCGGTAGAACAGTGGGGGAAAACGCGTATATATATATATACATACCTATATATATATATATATATACATATATATACGGGCATATGTACAAATATACAGATATATAGGGAGAGACCGAGAGTACCGAAAGAGGGATATATCTATATGTGCACATGGACTTATAGATATCTGTATACCTATATATACATACATTCGTTCGCTCTTCCGTCGTCGTTATACAGTCATACCAGTCATTCGAGTCCTTCGAGTCCAAGGGGTAGCACAGGAGTTGTGTAACGTCTCTACGCTGGCATCTGCATTCTTCTTTATTCGATGCCAGCACGTTCGACCTGAGAGAAATTCCCAAGATACTTGACGGATAAGTGCTTTGAAGTGTATAAACAGTGGTGTGCGTTAAACGATATCGTGCTGACGGGATTAAGTGGTGAACGAGGAATATACGTTGCGGGAAATATATATATATATATATATATATCTGTGGAGTTTAATAAAAAGGGTAATTAAGTAGTCACCGTAAATTCCGAGTCGAAATCTACAAAGTGCCAGTGGTGGATCGACGATGCATTTACCGGACGGGCCGTTGGCTATGGAGAACTTCGGTGCTGTATACGATACTCTACGGGCATGTCACGGGGACCTCGTGCAGACCGGAAGTCCGGTTATACTGTGCAGCGCACTTCCGTCCCATTGGAGATCGAACAAATCCCTGCCTGTGGCTTTCAAAGTTGTTGCACTTGACGATGTCAATGACGGGACTCTCGTTACCATAAGAGCAGGGAACGATGAAAATTGCTGTGGGGAATTGAGGAACTGCACGGCTGTTATGAAGAATCAGGTCGCCAAGTTCAATGATCTTCGGTTCGTTGGTCGTAGCGGAAGAGGTGAGTGTTGATTTATTGAATACATTGCGTATGCCGATCTTTGTTACGTGCGATTATATATTGACATGTCAAATTGCAAAGTGATCTCTCTAATTGGTATCGTATTTTTGTAATCTGGTTACAGGGAAATCGTTCTCTCTCACCATACAGATCAGCACGGTGCCGTTCCAGGTGGCAACTTATTCAAAAGCCATCAAAGTCACCGTGGACGGACCTAGAGAGCCCAGGTCTAAGTCGAGTAAGTAGTATATATAGGTATACACGTGTAGAAATACGTCAATGATATACATGAATGACGTATAGGGAAATGGTAGACAGGGGGGTAGGTAGAGGTAGGTAGAGGCCGGGAGGAGGGTGAAATAAAAAGAAAACTATTATGAGTGACGGGCGATTTAAAAGTTTTGTCGCCGAAAAATAAAAAAGTTAAAGGAGCGTGACCACTGGAGAATCCGCAAACGGGTGGCCGAAGCCTTGCGGCATTTAATAATCCGCCATATAGCTGGTGGACCTCAAACCGCCGTAGCGGTTTAGCCAGGTTGGCATCGGTTCAAACCCCTGACTCGTGCGGTACTCAATTCCGGGACCGACTTCATCCGGCGGGATGTCGATGTCGAGGTTGTTTTGATAGGATTGGCATATATCTTGTTTGATCTAAGATCTCGATACGTCGGCATAGTCTTTTGAAATACGTGCGATTATTTTCATAAGCTCGCACGACGATTGGGCCGCGTCCACTAAGCGGGTCCTTGTTTATTGGCCGGCAGCGTCGAAAGAGACGCGGCTCCATAGACGCCGCGTTTAACGCGTTTGTTTATCGCGCTACATATGGCGGTAGCATGTGCGCCGAAATGGCCCTCCTCCTCTCGGTCCTCTGATCCACCATCTTGGAGACTACGGATAAACAGAGTCGCGTCTTGTAATCTTTATGGGAGTCATGGGGTTTTCGTCGGGGTTTGGCAGTTTATTATACCGACGTCGCGCGGGTTCTTTTGAGGATCGCCGCGACGCCTCCCTGTCTCTTTCTTACTCTTGCGCTTTATACGATATAATTTCTCTTTCCTAGTACCTCTTACGCGGGTTAGGTATATAGGTTAGAGCGAGTATTTAGAAATTATTTATAGACGTTAACACATCGTTAAGTCAGTTCGATTGAATTTCTTGAAGCTTCTTTTTTTTTTTTTTTCTCGTAAACATTCGATAAATCTGACTTTGTTATGAGTACAGGTTTTTCTTTTCGCGTCTATGCAATATATTTTTTCTTTAATTTTCCCACGTCAGCTTGAGTCATCATTAAACGGCGTGCTTTTTTTCTCTTTAACAGATTACCAATACGGACCAGGCTTTCCGGGATTAGGATTCCTCAATCCATGGCTGGATGCTGCGTACCTCGGACACGCTTGGCATTTGCCACATCCAGCGTTAGTTAAAGGTAAGAATCTGACAATGTTTATTACGGCATTCTTTGGTGCTAGTAGTATTGATTCCTAGCACGAGCGATGATTCATACACGAGCTGGACCGAGGGAGAGTCTGAGCTCCCTTTCTGGAGCCTGATTTCAACCCCGATCCCGACCCCGAAATAACAATACGACTTAACCCCTATACGAGTACAGTCACCCACCCTAGAATAAATGCTGCGTACAACGTACGTGTGCTTTTCCCTGCTTCTCTGTACTCTCGTACTCGTCCACCACCCCCGTTTGCTTCCTTCTCCAGCCCCTGCCAGATGATCCAGTAAAATCGTATCACTAATCGTCTGTCCTCTTTGTTCCAGGCTCAATTCCAATGCCACCGACAGACCTGTTCCCACCTACATTTGCCCCGACAGTTCTGCCAACCGGATATCCGTTCACGGAGCACCTCAAGTATTCAGCGGATTATCCGTTGCCACCAAAGACGGCGGCGTCGGTACCGTTGAGTCCCCCAAAAAGTTCACCCCGGAGTCCGGTCAGGACGCCGCCAAGGAGTCCCGCGAGGAGTCCTAGTGAGAGCGGAAGTGATTCCGCCGCTGAGGAAGTCCGAAGTGCCTTCGTGCCTATTCGACTGAATACCCTTCCGCCTCCGGCGACGTCGGCTACGTCGATCGCGCAATCATCCTCGTCACCCATTTCCAAGAGGCCGACGGAAGGTACGAAGAACGTGCTCAAGGCGCCTACCGCGCTCATCTCCCAGAGGACAAGCACCAAGAGTCCGTCGCCTACCAACATCTCCACGCCGCCTACTACAAAGCCAGTCTGGAGGCCTTATTAAGATCCGTGCAGGTCCTAATCTCGGAGGATGATCTTCGATTTCGCCTTATCACGTTGCAAGGCTAGTGATTCACCACGCCGTTGACCGTCTAACCCCCCAGGACAAAGTTACAGTGATACTGAATTAATCCAAATTTTGCACGCCGAGCGTGGACGCCTGGTACAGTACTCATCTGTAAGGACGGGGAAGCTGCGAGAGATCTTCGACGCGAAAAAAAAGAAAATTATTAAAAAATAGTCCCACTTTGTCGTTTCAGGTATGACGAGTGACGTCGAAACGTCAAGTGTCAGGACTGTCTTTTGTACATAGCCAAAGAGATTCAAGTCGTTTGTATATACGTGTAGATAGTATTGGACAATAATTCCGAATATGTGAACGCGATAGGGACGTAAATCAGAAAATTAATTATTATGGATGAATGAGGGTCTGTGCGTTTGCGTGTGTATATACGAGTGTGATATATAAATACAATGAGAGCGAAATTTCGAAAGGAAAGAGAGTGAGACTGCCAGAGATATCAATTATTTATAAGCCAGAGATATAATTTAATGTAAAGAGAATGCATAATAATATACATAGAGAGTCGGAGGAGAGAAATAAAACAGAAATCTATGTCGAATTCTTAATACATTTGTACCTGAAGATCTTTTTACATTCCGATAACCTCACACGTCTATCCATCCATGCCTAAACACCACTGTGTATATACATGTATATGATATCAATATTGGTACAGAGGAAGAGGAAGAAATCAAAATCAAGAGTCGTTTCTGGCCATAGGGTATGTGCTTTTCGTTTCCCAACGTGGAGGAAGGGATCCAGTTTTTTTCAGCCTGCCATTTAAATCTGAATGGCTGTACGGCGCGGTCGCTCGAGAGTTCGTACATTAGGCATATATATACACATATATCCATATGGGATCCCATACGTGTTGGAGATCGGTCGGGAGACACGGGAAGAGAAGGGAATGGTTTATATTGAGGGGAGTGCGTGAGATCTGTATTAGTACCTATAGGTCCTGGCTCGTACGAACCCGGTGGTGCTCAACTTGCCGATAGATAATTTTTAAACGATAAATCATTATTACATAGTATCTCATATCTTACTATTTTTTTACCTAGAATTGTTGCACCATCGTATAAATATTGTATAGAATTTTTTTTTGATTTTTTTCAATTTTCACACCTTTTCACTGTTATGGGTTTTACTGGTCCTAGGGATATTTTACAGTGACGGATGTAACTAGGCATCCCTGAATGAGAACCAGGTCAACACTCCGTGGTAGGGCTGCTCGTTGACGAGTAGACAACGGAACCAAGCAACCGTGAAGGGTCCTCATGGTAGTTCCGAGTTGAACCGATCTGATCCGATTCCAGCCGAGGTAAACCAATCGGCAGAAATCCATGTGTGCTAGCCGGCGCTAACTAATGTTTACTCAAAAAATTTACCGGCAATCGAATTGGCTCTGGAAAATTTAGGGTCGACCTGACTGGGCTGACTGGGTAGCTGGATGACGGCTAACTAGAAGTCGGAGCTCCCCATGCACGTGGTTATGCATAACATTGATAAAGATATAGGGTGGGATTTCTCAACTGGCAAAGTTCACAGTAATCTCGGGTATGATACTTGATAACGGAATGTTATCGTGGTTTTGATAATCAGTCGAATCGGTGGGATCGTACAGGCGATCGAGACTGGAATCAGAGCCGATGGCCAAATGCCGAGTGACGTAGATGCTTGCTCGGAGTTTGAGGGTCCTAGAGTTAGGCAATCAGCGTTGATGAGGGGTGTCCAGGGGGTTGGTTAGTAGGGAAGTGAGGAAGCGGAAGGTAGTCGGACAATTAGTAACCGTTGCCCACCCTCCGGCTACCACCCTCAAAACCCACTCTCTCTCTCTCTCTCTCTCACTCTCTTCTCTTATTCTCCTACCTATATATTGTAGTCGCCCCTACATTTCGTATTGCGCGACGAACTACCCCCTCAGTTACCGAGCCCCGATTCACTACGCATGCGAAAGAGAGCTGCTTCATGGGAAAGCATACGGGAACCACGGTACACGTTAAGTGGTTAAGTCCGAAATAGGAACATGTCCAGTTTGTAAAGTACGCTGAAAAATGAAGAAGGTACCGTTATCTATTTCAAGAATAATAATACTAAATACGATAAAATCACGTGGTGATAATATGCACTTGGAGAATTGATCCATATCCTTCCGTACCTATTTGCCCATCGTTTATGCAGTACCGTGAGAAGAGCATGAAAGGTCCAGGAATATATATTTAATTTCACAAGAAAATATAGGATACAAGTAATGTAAATTTTCCCTTTAACAGATATATTCGATAAAGATATGAAACGAGATAACAGAAGTGGATGCTGCGGTATTCACTTGGGAAACCGACGATAACAAGCGTCTTTGAATGGCAATGCGTCTTCGACGAGGTCGACGATGTCAGTGGCGTCGACCTCGTTATTTTGAATTGATCCGAGATCACGTTGCCGATTATCAATGTGGTTAGGTAACATTGGGTAGGGAGTCTGAAAACTGTCGCAGATGAATATACCATATCAGCAATTCATGGATGTCTCAAGTATCGCAAAGCCTGGACCAATGGGATACCGAATAGTAGAGACGTAAAGCCGTGTTTGCAAGTCTACTTCGGTTTAAACATATACGCATTTTTTTTTTAATACATCGTATGGACTAACAAATGGTTAAGTTTGAGTGTTGCTCAAATAAAAACACATTGCTACGATGTTATTTGCAAGGGCGCGTTACGAGCATGGACTTTTGTAGGACCTGGTGAGGTATGCCCATCGCGAAAACCCGCTTTATGGGGACAATTTGATTTTCGACATTGATTTTACGATGGGGTTTTGCATGCTCGGGAGAACCCCAGCGCATTACACTATTCACTGGCCGGTTTTAGTTGAGGTAAAAGTTGTGGTCGTTGCATAGTGAAAGTGAAATAAAGTTTTACAATGTTATTTTAAAATACCGTGAGGTCTTGCCCAGGGCAACTGTTAGGTCGACGATGACCACGAGGGGGATGAAGGCGGTGGTCGAGGATGAAGAGGATAAGGATTGGAAATTTCTTGGTTATGGCAATAATAATAATATAGTCCACCCTTAAGCCAAGGGAGCAACCAGACAAGAGCAAAGACAGAACGGAGTCATGTCATTCCTAGAACTTTTTTATGACGAGGATCATATGAAAGTTCCCTTCCTAGAATTCATCTAAATTTTCGTCAGGGCACTCGAGTAGAAACGAGGAACATTGCCAGAGCAGACCAGCGCGAACGGAACTCATCACCGGGGAGGAAGTGGACACGTCGGAACAATTTCCTTAAACCGTCTCTCCTGCCTAGTGGCTGCTACATGGGCTCCCTGGTCCTGAGCGATTGACCAATTTACGAAATCGATTCGAATCCAAATGAAGATGTAATTTTAGCGTTGCGCCGCGACATCCATTTGCCTCTACGATCCACCCACTTCGTCAATGCAGTTCCTCGGCTCGTCTTTTTCTGACCGTATTAGCTCATATGGTCAAACCAGTACTAGGCCGCAAGCCTAGCCTTGCGGCATGCCTACCAACCACGAGTCTGATAATACGAAAACCACTGTGCACGATCATAGAACTACAGGTTAAATTTGAAATCCCTACAGTCGTCCTTACAACAACCGACCCAAGAAATGTCAAAAAAAAATTCAAAATATATATACGTGAAATTTCAAAATTTTAATATCGAGGATTAAAGTCTCTCTTCTAGTTTATTTGAATTTCGCGCCGCTACAAAATTTCAGGTCTGAATTCTCCCGTTTCATAACGGTAGCCGGAGCAAAAGGTTTTTTCTTTCTTTACCGTACTACTGGCAGTCTAGTAATAAAAGCTTGTTAATATACAGTTGGTCGTACGGGCCAGACCTTGGGACGTAGACATTGTTCAACTGGGCAAATAATAATGTACGATAGTATCCATAGATATAGAGAATTTTAGTCGAGGGTCTCTTAAGGTACTAGTATACTACCCTAGATACGAGACATTATCTGGGACAATGCCTGCAAAAATTATGGATAGCCGATATAGACGATAGGCGCTTCAAGGCTTGCAGGGGAGCGTCTCATCCATTTAGGTCCATCACACATGACTGGATGGGGTGAGAGTGAAAAGAGGTTTCTCATATGCAGAGGTTCTCACGTAGATTAGCCCCGCGTGGCCAAACATGCTATGGCACACTTCCTCGCGCCACAAGGAGACGCTCCACGCTGGGTCTATTCTTTATCTTTAATTCAAGAACGTCATGCATCGCCAGGGTTTCCTACGATTGGCCAGGCGTCATGTACAACCATGCAAGGGGGTCAGGGGAGGGTACCTAGAGGGCCCCCCATTTTTTTATCCTTACTTACCATTTCCCTCCACGAAGGCAGATTTATCGATTATTCCTGGTCCAGTGGTCCCCATTTACCATGGTGTGCTTCACAGTTGCCTTAGCTACTATGCTTTCAGGTATATATATGTGTATATATATATATATAGTATATTGTATATATGAGGTACACCCTTACAACCTCCGACGTTTGTATGCGCACAGAGTATGAGGAGTCCCCTAGTGCGGGGGTAAAACCACCCTGGGTTGGTCTAGGATCCCGAGCGCGGAAGCCCGCAGGGGTACGCCGCGACAAACCCCTAGCAACCCCTCAAAATCAACCGCCCCTTCTCGAGCTCTCTCTATTCTACTATAGAATATCACGCGGGGGTTGTTGCCGACGGGTGAAGCGAGCACCATTCGGGCGTCGCGACGCAACGCGAATCGACCTTCTGCCGTGCTGAATTATCACTGTTTTTAAAATAATGACTCGATGTGATCCTGCAGTCGGGTTCGAATCTTTATAAGAGTGAAGATTTTTTTCTTATAACCAAAGCGACAATAAAGGAGGGTATTAAAGGACCGTTTCAGTGCTGTACTACCCTTTACCTTTGTGACGGCCACTAAACTTTAGAATTTTATGTTGTCTCCCGTCTCCGTGACACCCCCGCGCTATCTTCCTTCTCTTGGGGCAACGTTGATGTATGTATTATAACTGGGGACCACTGGAGAGTCTGTGTCTGCACAGGAGCTAGGGGGTAGCTATTCGTATGCGAGGAACACAGGGGTTCTTTGTACGAAGGGCAGAACATTGACAGGGTTCGGGCGGAGGGGAGTCCAAAGGGGAGCTAACACCATTATCTAATACTCCGGGGTGCCCATATGTGGTACCTCGGCTACGAGCCGCTTTTTTGACCCTACACAGCCCCACGTAGTGACAGCACGTAGAATTATTCTCTGTCTCTGTAGACGCAGTAGAATTTACCACTGGACTTGCAGACACGTACCTAGCATAGTATGGTTTACTTTTTCTTTCCTTTTCTAAAGTTCAATCGCACGAAAATCTACAACCCGTATCTAGCCTTGTAAAACATTTTGACGGCTTAATTCCGTTATAACCATACCAAAGTTCCAGTTCATTTAGGTAAATGGTAGAATAGGTAGCATGGGTTTTAAGGCACCTATCAATGTGTCTACAATGTTTCGTATATAAATTTTAT